GGAAAGAACAGAGGTATCCGGGCTCACCCTACATGCTCCCTTCGGCAGAGGTAGACAGAGCCCAGGTATCTGGGACCGTAGGCAAGTCAGTAGTGCTGCCCCCCCCATCCCGGCTGAAGAACCCAGGCATCCTGCTGCTTTGCAGCCCCCTCCCACAGCCCCTTATCTACCCACTAGGCCACAAGGCCTGGCAAGACCTGCCCCCCAAGTCCTAGAAGTGGAGGAGCTTCGTGGCCAGCATGTCAACCCACCTAGACTCCTCCCCCACCCCCAAGTGGGGCAGGAATAAACCAGCCAGAAGCTGACCATGGCTCTGTCTCTGCCAGCAGGCGGCACTGGGATGCGGGTGGGGCAGTCCCCATATTCCACCCCAGAAGTGGCTGCAGCCTGGCACTGGGGGCGGAGGCTCTGTTATACCCAGCCAGATCTTCCACCCCAGAGCTAGATGCATCCTAACACCAGAGTCTCTCATACCTAACTTGTTGCCCCACCACAGAGCCAGCCAAATCAGAGCACTGTTGAGGGTTTACTTTACATTATACCCAGCTGGTGCTCTGCCTCAGAGCCAGCTACACCTTAAGACCACTGATGTTCTCAATTATACCCAACCCCTGTTGCTTCACCCTGGAACTGGCTGCATCTCAGCCCTGTTGAGGGTCACTGCTATACCCAGCCCCTGATGTCCCATCCCAGAGCCAGAGGCATTTCAGCACTGTTGAGAATCCCCATTATACCCAGCTAGGAATCCACCCCTCAACTGGCTGCATCCTAACACCACTAAGGGTCTCTGTTACAACCAGCCCCTGTTGCTCAACCCCAGAACCAGCTGCATCTGAGCACCATTAAGGGTCCCTGTTATACTCAGCTGGTGCTCCACCCCAGAGCCAGCCAGATCTCAACACCATTGAGGGTCTCTGTTATATCCAACCTGTATTGCTCCACCCGAGCTGCCTGCATCTCAGCACCGTTGAGGGTCCCTGTTATACCCAGCCCCCAATGTCCCACCCCAGAAGCAGCTGCAAGCTCAAGCAACAGCTACACAACTCTGTGGGACCTTTATTAGCTCAAATGAAGCCCACAGGCTATGTGTGTGTGGGGTGTCTTGACCCCCAGCCCCCACTACAGGCCACTGAGGGGTTTGAGGCAGCGCTCGTGGAAGTAGCGATGGGGCTGGTGTGGGGTGGGTGCTGGGCGGGCAAAGTAGGACAGCAACGAGGGGGTGCCTGGTGTGGGGGCAGCATCCCCATCATCATAATCCCTGGGAGGGGGGGGAATGACAGAGGGAGCAGTTAGGGGAGAGCTCAAGGGGTGACGGGAAGAGCTGTCCCCAGGAACCCAGGTGTCTGGCTCCCGCCCACCCTCTCCAGGGAAACTCAGGTGTCCAGGGCACCCACCCACCCAAACAAAACCCAGGCATCCAGGGCACCCAACCCCTGCCCTCAGAACCCAGGTGTCCCAGACCCATACACATACACGAGAGTACACACACAACACTCAGGCAGCCAGAGTACCAACTCACACCCCTGTGCCCTGGAAACCAGTCATCCAGGGCATCTACTTACTCACCCAACCCCCGAGCCCTGGTGTTTGCCTGCCCCCCACCCTCCTCCCCAACTCTGAAAACCCAGGCACATCCAGGCACCCCCTCACACATTCATAGAACTCAAGCATCCAGCTCCCCTCAGCCCTCCCAGACCAAGCCAGTGCATGGGCACGTACCAGTGCACAGGCACAGCATGGCTGTCCAGCAGGGTCTGGGCCGTGCTCCAGCTGATCCGCACAAACTGTGGGTACCCAAAGATGGGGTCCAGGGTCTGCATTAGCCATGCCTTTGTCTTGGGGTCTGGGTGGGCACAGTAGGGGGTGAGGGGAGACAGGAAGAGCCCTAGGGCAGGACTCCCACCACAGCACAAAGATAAGAGCTTGGATAGCTGGGATCCTTCCCCAGCTCTAGGAGGGGAGGCAGGGGGGGGCAGGAGGTGCTGGGAGCCTGGATTCTCTCCAGCTCTGGGAGGGGAGGGGGTGTGGAGGGGCCCTAGAGGAGGTGTGGTGGAGCTAAGAGCCCAGACACTGGGGCTAGGTCTAGCAGAGGAGGGGAGTCCAAAGGGGTTAAAGCAGGGTGTGCTGGGAGCCAGGACACCTGGGTCCTCTCCAGCTCTGGGAGGGGATGTGAGGTTAGAGTGGGGGTAGCTAGGAGCCCGGATCCTTAGGTTCTCTCCCCAGCTCAAGGCAGGGAATGGGCAGGATGAAGGATGGGGGTGGGGCATAGACCCCCAGCCCAGGATAGGGTGGGGTACCAAGCTGGCTGTGCCCAGAAGTGCAGTCTTGGGCAGTTGGTAAGGGGTACTGGACTGTCTGGCACCTCCTCGTGGCCAGCCCAGCCCCCCTTACCATTGGGATACCCCGACCCATAGTCCAGGCTCGTGTCATCCAGATCCTCCACAAACTTCCAGCTCTTCACAGCCCGATCTCTTGCTACCTGCCAGATGGACACACAGACATGTATGTCTCAGAACCCCCACCCCGCTCCAAATGCAGCTGGCTCTGGGGTGGGACACTGGGGGCTGGGTATAACACAGATCCCTCAGCCAGTCCTGAGATGCAGCTGGCTCCAGGATGGCATGTCAGGGCTGGGTATAACAGGGACCCACTGCATGGTGCTGGGATGCAATTGGTTCTGGGGTGGGACACCGGGGCTGGGTATAACAGGGACCCATTGGCCAGCCCTGAGATGCAGCCACATTTGGGGTGGGGCACATGGGGGCAGCTGGTTACCTGTGCTAAGATGCAGCTGCTTCTGGGGTGGAACCTGGGGGGCTCCAGACCAGTTGCCCAGAGCAGGGCACACAGGTAACAGGACAATACTAAAGAAGCTGGGGAGGAGGGGGGCTGAGGAGCCCTGGAGACCCCTTGGGGTGGAGCCTGAACCCAAACTAACCTTGGCACAGATGCTGGCAGCGCTGACAATGGGGAAGAGGGCATCAGCCTTGGCTCGAACAGTCACCTCCAGCTCAGGGAACCGCTGCTGCAGCTTCTCCTGGTACTTGTCAGCTGGCCCCACCGTGTCCACAAAGACCTTGCGGG